GTGGCTTTTTTTTAAATGAAAATATGTTTTTGGATATTGCTGTTACAGAGACTCATAGCAAAAATGCCATGCCATGAAGTTTGCCAACAAATCGAAGACGTGATTCAGATTTTCTTGTCTTGTATATTTGTGTTTAGTACTAGATTTCCAAAGAAAGTGTGTCAAATTTGTTTAATTTATCTATTTATAATATAATTATGGAAATTTTAAACCATACCAACCATTCTAATTTAGGCAACACTTTTCCCTCCATGTGTCCCTAGCGTGCCTATTGGTGTTAAAGTCTGTTCATAGATAAAAGAAAATGACTAACTGATACGAATTAAGAAAAAACCCGAGCAACCTGTAAGAATGAAATATGGCCGAACAGGTCCGTACTTTGCTTATAATTTAATTATTTGGGGTTTTGTTAGGAAAGATAGAAGATAGAAATATTTATTTATGTATTTTTATTTAAATCTAAAATAAAATTACAAATTATTTTTATTACCTACTTAAATCACTTAAAATTATTCATATAATATGTCAGTATAACTATCGCTATCATCGCCTGTTCTAATTATTATTTGTTCTATATTATTTGCAATTTGGATATACGATTGTTCTGCTTTTTCTATATGTGTAACAGAATTTGCCCAACTTTGTGGAGGGATGTTAAAAACTTCGGTTTCGATAGGTTTGAGGACAATGGAGTTAACACGGGAAAAAATTGTTACGACGAATGACAGATTTCAGTTGGTGCCAAACATGTTCAACGGGATTAAATATACAGTGGTAAGGTGGAAACTTTAAAACTGTATGCCCTAGATTTTTTGCATAATTATCACAGACGTATTCCTTTTGTATGTTCAAGCTTTGTGGAACCTCAATTAATTGCTTTTTGGTATAATCTTCGTGAAAATAAATGTCGTTGTTATACATGTAGTTTTGGATTGTTGCTTTTGTGTCACATAGGGAAGGGGTTTTAGTCAACTGTCTACTGTGATAACCTGCATTGCCTATTACAATGACGCTATTAGGAGGAATGTTTGGAACTAGTTTGTTTTTAAAATAACTTTCTATTCCCTATTTTTGATGGCGCGTTTGTTTTACACTTATCAGTTGAGTCAACCCAACCCTTTCCGGAGTATCAAAGGTGTCGAACCAGGTTTCATCCAGGTAAATAAATGGACTTAAAACTTTAAAACGTTAAAATTTGCCTTTTGTCAATTTTTTTAAATCTAAAACCCATGTGTTGAATATACTTCCATAAGGTGGTTCTGCCACAGTTAGCACCGGTTTCATCTTTTTCAAGCCTCCTAATTAAGATATCTAATGTAGGCACGCTTTGTTCCCCGTATAACTGGCAAATTTTACGTCGTATTATATCTTGATCATTTTCATCTACACTCAAGAAAATGTCAGCATCGCTTCTTTTTTTCCTCGCTGAAATGGGATTATTCACAATTTTCCATACAGTAAATGTTGGAATTTTCGTCAATGCGGCCGTTTCTTCTAAATATGCTTGCTTGCTGGCCCCACGTTCAATGAGAGTGAAATAAACATTGTTTATAACTTCCTTAGTCTCAATAGAATAGTGTTTTCTACATTTGAGCGGGAGTATTTCCTGAGACACTAGACTCGCACATATTTTGCATAATTCGCACACGATTCAACACACGCTGTATTACACACGAAATAAGAATGGTTACTAATAAATTTAAACTATGTAGTATAGCAAACCAAAGAATATTAAACACAGGTAGGTATAAAATTATTTTCTATTACGGACCACAATTTTATCTGAATTTAAATTCCGAAACTTTAGGTAATAATCTTGTTGCATTGTATTTTAATGACAACCTTTGGATAATCCCATTCCCATTCGTCAATTTCTTATATCTATGAACAGAGCATACCAGCAATGTCAAGGTATTCTACAAATTGACCTATTTGCGGGGCATTATACAAAATCACTATTATTTTGGGTAATCTGCACATTGACTACGGTGTGCATAATGCCAATTCTGTCGAAGTTTATGGGACGGTTTTTGAATCATATTTATGAGCGGCAAGAATGAAATCGTTTGTAGCAGTTGCAGAACTATAACAATGTGTTTCTATCATTTGATGAAAGTGAAAACATGTTCTGAGAGATGTGTTGGTTGGTATAGTGATTGACTAGCAGACATTATACAGATTGCCTAAAACAGAGTAGTCAATTTCCAGATTACCCAAAATAGTATGTGATTTTGCATAATGTCCGGTAAATTGGGCAGTTTGCAGAATACCCAGATATTTCGCACATTGACGGTTTTTTTGCCGGTAACATTGGCGCCCCAACAACAGCTATTTTATGAATGATTTTATGCGATCTTGACACAAACGCAAACCTAACCTAAAATTGTGCATACCGTCTTTTTAATCACTAGTATTGGCCAATCCAACAACCTGTCAAATGGAATTCAATTTGGCCGGTAACAACCAGGGTAAACAAACAATAGTATATTATGCAACAAGTGAGGTAAACGGCATTTGACTCACGAGTTTATTTGACACGAGCGGAGCGAGTGTTTAATAAACGAGTGACTTAAAAAGTTTACCGACAGTGTTGCATACTATAATTTTTCTACGACCGCTAGTTTTTGAGTACATTTTCGCAAAACAAAAAAAATGCATTCACTGACATGACTGTCAGATTGGACAAACGTCAAAATTCAAGGCGTGGGAAATATCTAATATTTGTCTTTATCTGCGACTTGCACTCTTAGAATATTGAAGTGACTAATGCATCAGACATTTTCCACATAGACGGATTTTGCACAGGGTGGTCCAAATTCGAGGGGCCTCTATGACTTTTTGCATTTGCAGCATAGTTAGCACAAAATTAATATGCATGTTACGGGCTTGATTTTCGAGAGAAGTCGAAAATGTGAGTTTCTAAAACCCCTTTATTACTTTTTTATTTGTAAAGATAGAGATTTTTATTAAAAAACTTTTTTTAGGGGCAAATCTACCTGTTTCGCCGTTTTTGTCTTAAAGCCTATAGTTTACGAGATATAACACAAAGTCAAATTTTTTTAAATGGAATACCCCAATTTTTCAAAAAAAAAAATTTTTTTTCTAATAAAATTTCCTGCCAAATGATGTGCCATACACCTATTTTTACTAAGTAGTTAAAAAGATATCTGCAATTTTTAATAATTACCATAGTAGGCTGTGCTTGACTCAAACCTATGCAGTTTTACAATTGCCATGTCAAAAGTGCCGTCTTTGTCAAGCAATAAAAATGTTTGAAAACTTTGAAAAGTACGACATGATAAAATGTTATATTGAAAGTAACGAAAATCAATAGACGGCGTTAAATCTATATTCCCAGACATATCCGGAAAGAAGGCAACCTAGCTTAAAAATATTTTTGAAGTTAAAACGTCATCTACAAGAATACGGATCCTTTACAAAACCGCGGGCAAGGACGTATAGAAAACCTAGCCAGAGATAGAATGTTGGAAGAATTGACGGTTCTGTTAGAAATAGAAATTAAACCGAATCTTCCTCCATGGCTATGGATAGAAATACTTGTAATTTAATTTGCCGAAAGATACCAACAAATTCTAAAGGAGCGGGTAATTCCGTTTATCGACAATTTGCCATTTCAGCAAAATAATAAGCTATACTTTCACCATGACGGTGCACAATGCTCTAAGGAAATTAAAAGAGCCAGCATTTGTTTTAGAATTAAACAAACTTTTTAGATGTAGATTTTAAGTGTTATATGGTTTAATTAATAAAAATTTTAAATAAACAAATTGCTTTCAATAATTTTAATTCCGTTTATTATTTTAGGGTCGGTAATTATTGTAAACTAGAAGTTAAAGTGCGAGGTGGCTGCGTCCCCTTGTGTCACAGCCAACTTGACAGCACAGCGCCTACTATGGGAAATACCAAAAATTGCAAATACCTTTTAAACTATAAAATAGGTGTATGGCACATCATTCGACAGGAAATTTTATTAGAAAACTGTTTTTTTTTTAGAAAAATGGGGAGTATCCCATTTAGATAAATACAACTTTGTGTGATATCTCGGGAACTAAAGGCTCTAAGACAAAACTGGTAAAGTAGAGACATTCGCGCTTAAAAAGAACTTTAAAAAATGTTTTTTCCCAAAACTCTATTCTTTTAATTAAAACAGTTATAGAGGGCCTTTAAAATCGCACATTTTTGACAATCACCTGGTAGCTCAAAAGCGCCTTGATATATCACGGTTTTCAGTTTTTGATTTCTCTCGAAAATCAAGCCCATAACATGCATATTAATTTTGAGCTAACTATGATGCAAATGCCATAGAGGACCATCGAATGTGGACCACCCTGTACATTGGCATCACAACAACAGCAATTTTATAATTGACTTATGAGGTCTTTTTCAGTTGGAGGCCTATGATTTGACCAAAAAATAAAAAAAAATACAGTTGTTGAGGGTACCACCTGCTCATGAGCGGCGTATTACGGCATACAAGTTTTAAGGAGAGAGATAACTTCCGTGTCGTAATCCGTAGTGCGTAACGACAAAACCCGCACTTTCTCCCGTCATTTACTTAAACCGGCGTCCCACAATGGACGTCTCGTTATAGATTCAACGAGGGCGACGGAAAATTTCCTCCAAACAGTTGTCCGTGGAACTGACCACCGTAACCGCGGTGAACGCAAAGACGCGACCCACTTTTAAAGCAGCGCGGAAAAATACTTGATAGGCTTGTAGCGAACGCGCTGGCTCGTCAAACTCGCCGGTTTTTCGCTCACGATTTTTGAAAAGCTATTTATTTTTCAATAAAAACGAAAACGCCTCTCGGACAAAGTCGTACCCGGTCGATAAATGACGACGCCGCACCGAAGGGGTAAGTACAAATTCGTATACCGTACCCCATTAAGAGGGTGGTATTGCCGTGTAGGATTTTAATTTGAACCTCGAACATCGAAATGGTTCCTGCGTTTCAATTTCTAGACGTAATTGAAACTTACCTCAGGCAATAACCAGGTTTACGAGTTCGCGTAAAATGACGATGCGAGAATTTATATACCAAAGACACGCGGTACCGCCTTCTTTTTCGGCTTGGACCGGTTACTACCGCATACGATCGCAGACTAAAGTACCGCAACGTTGATATCGAAGGTGAACGCTTGTTTCGGTCCCGCTTCTTGTTGGATGCGTACCGGGGAGTCGAAGACATCAAGATCAACGGTTACTTGCACTATACGTGTTGCATAATATACTTTTTCTACTCCCGTCTGTAAAATACCTAATTACGCACCGATCTAGCATGCGATCTAGAATCCGAGGCACTTCGGTCATTTCCGGGAATTTACCGCACGGGTTTGGGAACAATCGGATGGTTTCGGAGATTTTACCGCACGGTTTGACGTTTGTCAATTCTGATGAGCATGTCGGTGTGTCAGTGAACGTATTGTTTTGCAAAAATGTACCCAAAAACTAATACACAGAAACATGTTATACAATGTATCGTCAATTTAAGTACTACGTGCTATAAGCTACAATTAAAATCTAATGGACTAGTCGGTAAGGAAAGTGACATTTATAATTTAAGTTTCCTACAGAAATTTTACATACCGTTCACATAAACTCCTATCGAACGGACAAGTTGAAAGGTATATGAAGACCATTATAAACCATCTACTGATTGAAACTAAAGTTACGTCAGAATGGCCGAGCTCTTTATGAAAATTCAACTTGTTTTTAATACGACGGTACAAAAATCAATTCAAATGACACCGCTTAGGGCTTTGATTGAAATAGAAGTGTCTACACATTGAGAGCATACTTGGAAATGTTAGTACGCATTTACAGCCCATCAAGAATTTACAACTGGATCGTCAAAGAATTGCAACCAATTTGAGTACGTCGCTACAGAAAAACATTAAAGAAAATGAAAAACGACGAAATGCCATAGACTTCAGGGTGGGAGATTTTGTTCTTACGCACCAAGATAAACTCAAATACGAGTTTCAAGGCCCCTTTGAAATTATAAGTATAATTCCGAAACGGCGTTACGAAATAAGGCGAGTTAATAGGTCTCTGCTCACGAAGGCTGCTAACGAGCAATTAAGGCTGTGACCTAACGACTTGGTAATGACAATGGATATGGAAGAGCTCTTCAATCTTCTAGAAGACTGGTGAGTGCCTATTTGGTTTTCGCCAGTAGGAATTTGCTAGGAGTGAAAATAATGTCATGTTTAAAGCTTGCTACGCTTTGCATTTGTTTGTGATTAATATTTATAGCTTGCTACGCTTTGCATTTGTTTGTGATTAATGTTTAAAGCTTGCTACGCTTTGCATTCGTTTGTTACTTATGTTTAAAGCGTCCTACGCTTTGCATTTGTTTGTGATTAATGTTAAAAGCTTGTTATGCTTTGCATTTGTTTGTAATTAATGTTTAAAGCATGCTACGCTTAGCATTTGTTGCTGATTAATGGTTAAAGCTTGCTACGCTTTGCAAGGTCAACGATTATTTCCACTATACGTTTTACATACTATACTTTTTCTACTCCCGTCTGTAAAATGCCTAATTACACACCGATTTAGCGTACGGGAAGCGTTACCTTCCCACGTCAGTTTCCTTTCCCACGGATCCGAGCCACTTCGGCCATTTCCGGAATTTTACCGCACGGGTTTGGGAGCAATCGGATGTTTTCGTAAATTTTACCTTACGGCTTGAATTTTGACGTTTGTCAATTTTGACGGTCATGTCAGTGTATGTATTGGTATTGTTTTGCAAAAATGTACCGAAAAACTAATGCACAGAAAAAGGTTATGCAATATATCAGTGAATTTAAATACTACGTGCTATAAGCTGCAATTAAAATCTAGTGGACTAGTCGGTAAGTAAAGTGACATTTATAATTTAAGTTTCCCACAGAAATTTTGCATACCATTCACATGAACTTTAGTGGTTTGCGCAGTTTTTATAATAATATCTTGCCAAGAACAGATTGTACTATTTTCAAACATTCATGTCTCATTAGTACAAACAAAAGAAAATTGAAGGTTAGGATCTATTTTTTCTTGCTTATGCGATATTAAAAAGCTCTATCCTTGGACGATTTTTCTTCCAATTACAGTCTTTTCTTTAAATAAACTGCTTAATGATCAATTGTAAAGGTTAAATAAACAATCTATATGACATATCCAATAATACATCTCTCTCTGTCTAACGTACACAATTAAAAAGAGACAATAAAAGCGGAATCGATAAACGAATAGGTTTAATGGCAACTAGTAAATATTTTGTTTGAATTGTACTAAAAATAGTAATCGGATAATCTGTTATTATTTTTAATTTGTTAAACTGTGATTTTTTTTGAAAGTCGTAAAAAAAGTATAGTATGCAACACGTTTGGTAAACTCTCACTCGTTTATTAAGCAATCGCTCCCACGCCTTAAATTTTGACGTTTGTCCAATCTGACAGTCATGTCAGTGAATGCATTTTTTTTGTTTTGCGAAAATGTACTTAAAAACTAGCGGTCGTAGAAAAATTATAGTATGCAATACTGTCGGTAAACTTTTTAAGTCACTCGTTTATTAAACACTCGCTCCGCTCGTGCCAAATAAACTCGTGAGTCAAATACCGCTTACCGCACTTGTTGCATAATATACTATAAAACTCAAATTTCGCACAGACAACTTATAAATGCTCATTTATTGAAATTGTGCACCCTTGACAATCATGCTATGACTAAGTTTTACAGTGCAATAATGATTTATACCCGTATTACGAAACACAGCATAGAGACCAATGAGCGTCGATGTTGAATTATTTCGCAAATCCTACCGACTGCGCCAGTGTTCGTTGTGAAAAACAAAATTGTTTTTTTTAGACACTTTATTGAAAAAGGTCGACAAACGACTTGGATAGATTCATTCATTGTATAATTTAAATAATAAAATTTGTGCTGATTCCGTCAGGACGATTTCACGGGTCATTCAACAAGCCGACACAGCTACCCAATTATAGAATGACACAATAGAGGCTTACACGATTTAACAAAATCTGGAAATTAAGCAATACATTTCTTATCTCTACAATGAAAGCAAAGGTTAGGTTGAAATAAATTAAAACTAAAGTTTAAATTAAACATATCATTAATACCATTAAACATTAATAAATGCCAACTAATGGACTTCGACCGGAGCAGAAACCCCATACATTATACTTATAACATCAATTGATTTACACACACCATGTTTCACCTATTGTGTCTAAATCACTTCATATTTTGGGCTTTATTAAGTGGACTCCTAGAGTATTCCATCTCTCAGGTTACTCTTCTGCTCCCTCGTGCGTCCACACCTGTATTATTGTTCCTGTGTGTGGTCACCTTCGCATAACGTTCACATAGAGCCCATAGAAAGAGTGCAGCATGGGTTCCTGCGGTATATAGCATTTAAGTTGAACGAAGGCATTAAGGACATCGATGACTTTCAATTGGAAATTTCTCTCCAACTTACAATTCTCCAGATTCGTCGCATGCATAGCGATTTCACCCTTATTTATAATTCTCTGTTATGTAAGATTGGGCTTCGCGTTCCCCCCCACCCCCCAGAATAAACCATTCTTTCCGGGTAGAGTTCCATCGTACTAACTATGGGCAGAGTTCTCTTCTTACTAGATCAGCCGCACTAGCAAATCCCTTTTCGGACCAACTTGACTGCTTCTAGAGTTCAAAAATATTAAAGAAAGAACTCAGAGTGTCAGTGAAACTGTTCCGTCTCGACTCCTATATTAATATTAATATCTTGGAAAACGAATGTTTGTGATACTAGGCTTGGGTCTTTATCTACCTACTTCATTCTAATTTATTTTTGTTTTATTTTATTAATTTTTTTTATTTTATTATTTTCATTTTATTATAAGTCCGAGCAAATCTTATTATAGTAGAGTTAGAAAAATAATTCGTCCGAAAACGCTCGATAGAAAATGTCAGTCTTGTTCGCACCTGATATGGGTTAACATTACAGCTCAAGTAATTTGTACAAAAAGAGCAATCTGCAAAGTTATTTACAACTTTGTGAAGAAAATCAATATCAAAACAGTTTCTTGGAGATTCAAGCGACTTCAAATTGTAAAATTTTATGTTTTCTTCGTACGAGTAAAAGTGTCGATCTATGTTGCATCAACAGTTTAAGCTGTTATTTTTTTGTGTAAAGGGCTTGTCATGCTATTATACAAGATTATTGCTGACTGAATTATAGTTACTTTCCGACAAATGTCGGGGCTGATCAGGCCACCAAAGAGAAATAGAGGAAGAAAACAAACTGTAATAACTGTAATACTTTTAAAGAAACCTGCCTCGGAGCAAATAATGTCAGAAATGAAAAAGCATGATTTCATTTCATCCATGGGTGCTCAAACATTTTGGACAACTGTGAAAGAAGTTAATTTTAGTTACAAAAAAAACATAAAACGAGACTTTTTATATAGAAACGCGAAATTAGTTTCATCGATAGGAAAAATGTATTTTTTGGACTGGAGATTATCATGAAGACATGTTGCTTTTGTTGAAGATCACTTCTAGCAAATGCTAGATCTTATTCCTGCACTGTCTGTTATAGTCAGTTATATGCCAGATACCATGCAATGCTTGGCTTACTTTAAACAAGAAGCAATTTCCGACCGATCTGAAGCTTGTGAAGATTGTAAATTTGTATAATCCTCTTTGTACGAAATTTCTTGACAAAAAAGTTAACAAAATATACTTTAACTATAAAATAAATAACAATGACCTTGCAAGAGTGAACGGAATAAGGGATCTTAGAGTTACACTTGACACAAAGTGGTCATTTAAACACCATATAGAAAGAATAATAAATGATTCAAATAGGATGGCGGGTTTTATTAATAGAAATTGCCGGGACTTCAATGATCCCAGAACGCTTATTTCCTTATATTATGCTTTTATTCAAAGTAGGATTTACTTCGCATCTGTTATCTGGAATCCACGCTACGCAGTTTATATCAACAGAATCAAGAACACTCAAGATAAATTCTTAAAATTTCTCGCTCTTAAGGCCCACACTCGTATAGAAGAAAGAAATTATCGCCCAATTAAAAATC